CAGATTTCCAATGGACTCTGCTAAAGCAATGAGTAAGCCGAGCTCTGGTGGTTGATACTCTAAATTCTTAAAGTTTGCTTTCCACAAGTAGCAATGCCATTGCCAGCCTCATACAGAAGGGTTGGTGCTGTTTACATTGACACATACTTATTAGCAAAGTCTATTTGCTTTCTAGCCAAATACACTAACAGTAAAATGTTAGCTTTTTATAAACTGCCTACACAGCCCATCCCTGGAAGAAATCAGCTATTGGTTAAAGATTCCTTAGATTCTTAGTGACGTTTCCTGATAATGGTCACATTTATAAACACAGATTACAGTTCCTAGGAACAGCTTTAACAGCACTGGCCTTTTCTAAAGTGTGCTTTAACTTGGGTTATCAGAACAGTAGCTGAATTCCTCCTATGGTTAAAGGGCAAATTCAGATACCTTTAGTCACCTTTTTCCACCACAAGTCTCACTGAATTAACTGAAGATGGATGATCAGACAATGAACAAAGGGCTGAGCCTGCACACAGGGCCAACATGAGGGTTTACCATTATACTGTGGGGCTTCAGACCACCTCTGTGGTGGAAAGGGCCACAGATTTTCTAAATTTCACCTTTAAATCACAACTTTTCGCTGTTTTATCAGTGCGGTTAAAGCAGTGAAACCTTCTGAGGTAGAAAAGTTTATATATTCTGAATTCTACACTTTAACTTAATTCATATACTGGAAGGAGACTGTCCTCGATTTCACTAGAACTGCATTCAGACAAAGGATTGCAGATGGAATAGTCTATAAAAAATACCAACATCACTAAAGGTGCTCTGCTTTAATGACAGAGTACAGAAGACAGGCAACATTTTTTCATTTTAAAAGCTACATRTGGGCACTTCCTGAATTCAGAATAGATACTGTGCTTCTGGCAGTCCTCCCACTGTCATTTCATTGGTTTCTCTTCCCAAAAAGCACATATCTTCCAAAGCTCTGGGTCACAAAACATGATGCAAGGTGTATGTTGGGACCACAACCAACAGGCAACCAGAAATACCAAAGGGAAGGATTTCTTTATTGAGTGGTATTCCCTAAATTCCAACACAACCTTTCCTGGCTACCCTCTACCTTGTTTGGCAGAGGCAGCAGCATCCCTTTGCATGGTTTTGTTAAACTTTTCTTTGCTTATGTTTAGTGTTCAAACCCTCCAGCTGTAAATGGTTCTCATAAATTATCRAATTCCATAGGTGTGTGTCACCTCCTGCCTCGTGGTACCAGTGTCTATCAGCCTCTTCCTTATTGCCCGATCAACGATCCCCTCTAATCACCCTCTTCCTTATTGTCTAAATATTTCCTTCACTRCCATTCACACATGGGAATAACTTGTTTTAATGTTTTACATAACAGATATTTAAGAAACCRGCAGTATAAAAACAACACTAGAAACACAGACCAGATCTCAGCTAACAACATATCTTAAATGAGTGCATGGCAATCTCCTTTTTCTTTTCTTTTTTTTAATCTATACCATCAGTACTCTTAACCCCACCCACTAAATCCACAGCACACACCTAGCAGTGGTACAAAAGGAGGTAGGAAACATTTTATAAACTCAGGAAAAACGATGGGGATGGTATGCCAAATTCATAAAGAGAAGCATTTCATCCCTGCAACTGCAGAATCCAGTTTTATAAYAATAATAATTGTTTGTGCTGCTGACTTCCTCCAACACCTGTGACCCCGCTTGTCGTGGCCTCACTGCCTGCTGGAAACTTGGCAAAAGACAAGAGAAGAGATATTAGGGAACCAATGCTACATCCTGAGAGAGGCCATAAAGTCCAAAGGTTGGGCAGGATTGCCAGGAGCAGCCTGATAAAGGAAGGAAGCATGTGGCCCTGAGCAGACAAACTGYTGTGCCCGAGTACAGCGTGTTCAGACTCTGGAGCTGCACCCCAATGCCTCCCACGCTCCACAGGGCACACAACAGCCAGGGACTCTTCCCAAACAGCCCTCTTGAAAAAGAATTATTTTAAGCCCCTTTGTGAAATGAGCATGTGACTATTCAGGGCCAGAATTTCACAGGTCTCAAATTCAGAAAACACTCCTCTTTATTATTTCAAATTAAGGTAGCATGATTTGTTGATTTAATAAAAGCAAAAAATCCCGTGCAAGACCCCTTCTGAATTAGCATATTCAAGCCTTTCCAAAATCTGGCTCCAGTAAAATACTTGTCCTTAAAAATCTATCAGACTGTAACTAAGCTTGTCACTTGGCATGTGAAATAAATAAGCCAATAATCAGATCCTTTAGAAATTTTCAATTAAACCTATAAAACTGTCTCATAAAATACCCAGCATTTGAAAAGTTTTTATTCAGAAGGGGAGTGCAGCACCTAAAGGTTTCACATTAGGAAGAGCATGGGTCATTAATAACTTCTTCCCCCCTCTTTCCTCCTCACCACTCTCTCAGTTACACGAGCATAATGTTTTGTGATGCCACACTGTGAATCTGAGCAGAAAACCCTTTCCTGGCTTTCAGCACAAATGAAACCAAGAGCCCAGCATGGCCCCACAAAAGACTGAGCAAGCACAAGCAAAGAGCAGGACTGGCAGCCAGGGGAGGGAGGAAAAAGGACACGGATTGCTTTGAGCTCATATTGCTGCTGAGCACTTTCTATTATAAAACCATAACCTAATATGCTTTCAAGACTCCGGCTCTGAGCTGCTCCCCACCGTGCGTCTCCTTCCCTGCGCGGATCCTACAGGGATCTATCCCATTCCCAAAACGCGTGGCACGTCGGGCACCGCTCTCTATTATATTTTCATTATTCACTAAACAAGAGGAAGRAAAACCCCAGCAGTGCCCCTAAACACAACATCTTCCTTGAGAAGCAACAGCACAGCCCGAAAGGACAGCTCTCCCTGTGAGTGAAATGCCTGGCTSGGGAGAGCTGTCCTCCCTGGGGAGCTCAGCTGTGGGAAGCGGGAGCAAGGAACTGCCTTTTTAGGACTGTGGCTGAGCGGGGCTGGGAAGAGCTGGGGCAGGACTGGGCTCTGGCAGCAGCTCCCTGGCCTTATAAGGACAAAGCCAGGTATTTTCCCAGCCAGGAAATCCAGGTAAGGTCAGGCAGGACTTCCCAGGATCTCCCACTGYCCAGGGAGACCCTTGGCCACTGCCACACCTGCTCGGTGCCGACCTCCGGCCCTGGTATCCCCAGCTTTTGAGCATTTCAAATAGGCCTTATTAGGAAACAGGGAAGCTTAATTAACTAATTGAAAGATCGTTTTGAGATCTGCAAAGCCAGATGGTTTGTGGGTGAACCGTTCTTGATATTAATGTGACATTTTAAGGCATTCACAGCAACATTTTGGAGYGCAAGTCTCTAATGTCAGGCATCTTTTTAGCTGCCTACGTAAGAGGGAGGGTTTCCAGAGGTGAGGAGCAACTGGATTCTCCAAAAGCTTTGAMAGAAGGGGCAGGACACTCAAAGCCTCAGAAACCCAGCAATTTGTTTAAGCAATCTTTAGGAACACATATCATTCAGAGTCCTCCCCAGTTGCCTAAAAATTAAGGCTACTTGACAGAAAAGCAAAAAGGTTTCAATTTCATTCAGTTTAAGTGACATTTGTTGTTATTATCTGTTTTATTTTTCTATGAAGCAAAACAAACTAAACTTTAGGGCAAATCCATCGATGTAGGATATACATGTAAGCAGCCCTGACCATGAACTCTCCCATATTGTTGCTCTYTTTACTTTCCTGACTAATTTTAATAAGAGGAGGCTTTGACTGACATAGAAGAAAGTACCATTTCCCCCCCAAAAAATCCACTTTTAAATTGTATTTTTGAATCTTTATCAGCAAATGGCCAAAAAATTGAGTATTTTTGAGTATTTTTCTTTGAGGAAATAAAAGAAGTAATTTCCCTTTGGATATGGTTAAAAAAATAACTTGGAGTGTTATGTTAAAATGAGGCACTACCCACCTAGGATTAATCCAGCTTCTCAGCTGCRAATATGAAATGGCACATTGAAATTCACAGAATTATATTTTGCCATCTTAGCTTTTTGAGGTTAAACTTTGATAACTACCTGCCTAGAGATGTTGGAAAGTGTGGGTTTAGCTGAAAGCAGCTACTTTAAACTCAAAGATATGAGAATGGCTTGATAGTTTTGATCTGTACAACTTTTAAATCCACAGAGAAGTGTCTGCTCTACATCCTAAACCACTGCACCATTTGTGCCTTCAGGTAACAATCACAGCAGGAAGACCAAAACTTGGAATTCTCTTGCCACATCCAACTTGCAACATATTGGCAAGAAAACACGGGGGAAGTACTAATTCCCCCAGGTAATCACAGGACATCCATTTCTAGGATTCTAGGATTCCTTTTGAGAGGCCCATCAGCAGAAATGAGGCCAYGGACAACATCAAAAATCACATTAATTAAATACATTAAATATGTGACAAACTTAGTCTGAGCTCAGACGTGTAGGATTTCCTCCAGTTGTTAACTGRGCTGGGATTACATTTCCATAATTCCAAAGGAGCACCAGGGCAAGGCTGCTTTCATAAAAGGCATAAAAGTTTTGACACCAGGTTTCATATTGTAAATTTCTCCTTTAAAATAACCTCCTTGCCAAAGCAGTTCAGCTGCCAAAGGGAGARAGGCTGGGAAACTATTCCCTTTTAAAAGCAATGAGTGGGCTGTGCTACTCAGGTACACGAGGCATCGCTCCAGAACCAGGCAGTGTTGGCTCATTAGGAGCAATTAAAAAAAAAAAAAAAAATCTGAGGGGATTTTAAAAACAACAACCTCCCAAAACAAAACATGCATATGTACCACATGCATTTGTTTATGCAGCTGTAATGAGTGATGAAATCCATTTATGAGCTGAAGTCACAAGATTCTAAGCAGGTCTTTGTTTAATCTCAGTAAGTCATGACATTTCCCTACTACTTATAATAATGTGATTGGGATCAACATTTTCAAACTTATGCACCTGGTTTTTAACACTGCTCACCGACTGCATTTCTCTGCTTCACTGAAGACAGAACAGGCTTCTTTTGGAGGCATCACTTCCATCAAGCATCCCTAAAAACAGATGTAGAAAGCTGCAGCTCTTGAATTCAGCACATCTTCTGCAGTTCTTACTCAAACTGAGACTCTGGGCAACCTACAAAGAGCGTAAATAAAAATCAATGAGACCATTAGTGGGATGAACACTTAGAGCATCAGCCCTTCTATAACCACAAAGTCTGCCCAGATGGATGCCCTTAAAAGACTTTCAGAAGGTTTGCTCCAGACAATAGCTCTCGTTCCAGCACGTTGCTGTGACTTGGGAGAATAAAATGAAGATAAATGCAGCTGTTTCTGCTTACATTAATGCAGCATTCATGCCCTCAGTAACAAAGGTATGATGGAGTATGCAAGAAAATAAAAGATTCAGCACAAATAACTATTAAGATACATGTTTTGTGTATTTATAAACCATGCTAGGCTTTAGATGTATTATTATATAGCTTTAAGATCAGTAATCCTGCATATAAATCACAGCCATGTTTTTAGCTTTGATATTAAGGAGAAGAAAAAGGGCAAAACCAAAGATATTTGGCACTGCTGCTTTTGTCATTACACTGCTATTAGCTTTGCAAACAGCTCTGATGTTTTCTGAGGATCAGATCAAAACTAAATGAATCCAGGTCCATGGGTAATACAGAGTGATTTTTTTAATAGTTCTTTTGAAAAGGAAACAAAGTTTAGACTCCTGAACAAAAAGTCAACCTACCCAAAGCACAAGGACAGGATATGCCAGACATAGAAAAGTTCTCTGGGCCTGTAAGGTGTGAGGGGAAATGTTGGTCCCAGCACTCTTTCCCCATTCCATCTCTCATTTGGCTCATTCACCTCCTGCTCTCCAGAGTCCCAAACGAGCCACGTTGATTTTCCAGTGTATCAGTAAACCAAGATGGCAGGAGGATATAAGGATAATGCAAAGGTCTTTCATCTGGAATGGTTTRTTCCAAGCAGCCTCTTTTTTATGTGTAAAAGCATAAAGTACAAGACAATTTGTCCAGCAGCTTGGACCCAAATTTAAGAAAGCTCAAACAAGGCCAAAGCCAAATATGCATAACCAGCTAAGACTGTGCATCACGCAACTGGCACCAACACAGTGTACTCTCATCCCTCGTATTTTTGTGTTGATAAGGGAAAATTATATGAGCTATTGACTCAGAAATTTATATATGCTAGCTACATTCATGGGAAAATAAACTCAGATGCTATCTTCCTACCTAAAGTCTAAGTATATAAGGATTGTATTTTATATTTCCCCATTTCCAAAGTCCTCTTCATTTATTTTCCTTTTGCTTCTGGGATCTATTTTGCCAGAAGGCCCAAAAGAAAATGGTTGTAACTACTGAAGTCAGAGTAACAACTGAAAAACATATATCAGTAAAAACCATTCTTTAATATGTGAGCCCACGTGAACTAAACCCAGCTTAAAAGTTCTGAGAAGTTGAATTAAAATAAATAACCCTGAGAGTTAAGTAAACAGTTCCCTTACTGGATTTGCTATAACTGACTAAAACCTTTCTTCCTCTTTCCACATTAAAGGAGGGCTCTAAAACCACRTTTTGCATATTTTATTAGTTCAAACCTTTTCTAACCTGGTTCCCAGGTCAGACTAAGTCTAAAAAAACTTTTAAAAGTGAATCTAACACTGTTCTAAAACAACAGAATCCAGTGGAGTGTGAACAACAGACTATCAATAAATGTCTACTCATATTCCCAGACCCAGACTGGAATTCTAAACAATTTTCAGTCCCTAAGATTTACAATTTATTGAACTGAACTCGCACACCAGCTTTAGCAATCAATGTTACCCATCGAATGCCTCTGAATGCTTTCACCAGAGAGAGGAACTGCACGTTTGGAGAAAGAAAAACATTTCTGTGATTGTTTTAAAAATCACAGTTGAAAGTTTCTCGAAAGGTCAAAAAGCAAGTYCTCCTGGTAGACACAGATTAGCAGGCAGAGGGTAGGCAAGGTGCTCAGGGTGTATGGGAAGGGTAATCCATCAGCCTGATAGCACCACTATGTATATGGTACAATTATATCTTATCTCCCCAGCCCTGCAACCAAAATAAACCCCATGGAAGCCTTGGAGTCTGCTTCTGTTGTCTTTAAGTACACACCCCTTAGGGTGGCGACCCAGGACACACCACACGCCTTTTACCTCATGTAAGACAAAAGCAAAACAAATATAATCAGTATTTTTCCTTTTAGGACTCTCACTGAGCSTCTTTGATGTGTTTTCCCTAATCGTTTTCTCTTTTTAATCATCACACTCAGGGGTTTCTCTGAGCTTATTATGGTTTAGGTTTTATGTAACCTCTTCCAGGCGGGCRCCTTCCCAAGCTCCCAACACAGCAACTGCTGTAACAGTACACAGCAACTCTACACCAAGGAATACCTTGGCCAAATGAAACCAAAAGGGAAATTTAGATGAGTACATTCTGCTTAGGTTGGAATTTTGGCTCAGGCACAAGAGTTTACACTCCTGGTCTTACAAAAAGAAGCTCTAATGGAGATACTGAAAATGAAAGTATCTCTTCTACTTCAAAGCTGAAAATCCCGCCACTTCTACAAAGCGTTTTTCTGCTCTGGGAAATTTTACTTATCTACACCCATTCCTGAAGGGGAAATTCTTGGTCCTGCAAGTTACCTGTGGGTTTGCCATTCACTTGAGTAGCCCTGAGACTCTGCCAGGTTGATTTACTGGCATAAAACTAGTTAAATTTCTATTTTTCTTGTGGCTACTTGCCAATATTTCWTTGTCTYAGGGGCAATTATTCACATTTATATTTTATCTTGATTCTCTTTAGCAATATTTCTGTTTACACAGAGAATCTTTCAACTGTGATCTTCAAATCTTTTCAGTTTTACCTATGAGGTGCATCCMTGTCCTACAGTTCTAATATTTTCCTGATCCACTATTAACAAAACTGCTCAATTTATAACAAGTATTACACAAAACTCACATAAATGGAATACCAATAAAATATCCTGTAAACAACTGCCCCTCAGCTAAGCTGCCAGTAGATTAATAAGGTTCTAGAGTTAATTTCCATTTCTCAGCTAAGAATTACTGGTATCACTGATACTCATTTCTGTTGTTCTCTGTCAGGACACCATCCATGGAGGAAGCAGGAGCTGGGACAAGAAATGGAAACATTTTCTTCACGTGGGAAGGTGCCCTGCTAAGAAACTGCTTRTTGAACCTGACAGTGGGTGTATAAACATTAGAGGGAGTGCTCACACATGTACTCCCAATAAAGGGGAGGACAAGGCGGTGAAAGTCAGAGCTATTACAAGACAAATACAAATTAAAGACATTGTTTTTAATCTCCAGGATACTAAAATATTTTTGAGAACTCCCAGTGTTTGGGGGAGGAGGGAGGGAGAGAAGGAGGCAGAGAAGAAGTAAACTCTGCTGAGACTTTTCTTATTGTTTCTACCTTTTGTGGGAAAATCATTCTAGAGACCAGCAAGAGAGGATTTTGAAACTAACAGAAAAGGACTTGCTAAAAGACACCTTGCTTTTTGTAAAACTTCCCATGGGGCCTGAAAAAGCACCCTGAGCATACCCTTTACCACACAGYTTTGCATATGAAATGTTTGTTTCARAGACAGTTGTATATTTTTACCTGGGGGGTTATTCCTGTCAATAGTCCCCTAATTACTGATCAGTGAGAAACAAGTAAAGGAGCCAGAGCTACCGCAAAGATAAAAGTACAACTATTGAAATTCGTGGGATTTTCAGCATTCCCCCTCCTTACCCCGAAACTTAAACCTTTGAGTGAACACTGCCATATATGTATTTTTGTTTGGCTGCCTGGTGGGCCACCTGAAAATCATCAGCACTCTGAGAAGAAARCTGCTATGGTTTTATTTGGAATTTCCTTAAACCGAAGCCCTGCTGTGCATTACCATTTCCCAGAAAGGTGCATTGTTCTATCAGCACCCCTATCAAATTCAAGAGCAGAGACGCGCTGTCGGGACGTGCAGCAGCTCAGATAGGCCGGGCTGTTGCAATCCTGTTGCAATCCTGTGCAGAAAACAGAACGTTAACACTGGCATGCTGCTCCCACGCCCTCCCCTCTTCAGGCTTCCCATTAACTCCGTGACACCCTGCAAGGCACAGGATTTATTTACACAACACCCCTCTTGAGACGAGCCTTTGTTCGGCTGMAATGTTGACAAGGCTTAGGAAGCACTACCCGCCAGAGCAAAGGTGTATTAAGCATCAAGTGAGGATGAATGAAATGCTTTGAGACTCGCTTGATCGAGTTTCCAGCTGCAGCACAATTCCCTGTYAGCCAGGAGCTGTTGGGACAAACTCGAGAAGCTCCTGGCTTTCACGGAGAGCACTGGCTGGCACTCACACMGTGGTTCCGCGAAGACTTTAATCCGGGATATGTGGCGACACCCTGAAAAGAAGCAAATTCCTCTCTGCTCAGCCATTCAGGTTTCWGCCGGGCTGGATTCGAGCGGGATGTGTTTCCCAACAGCGTTCACCTCCCGGCTGTGTCAGCGSCAGGGAGGGGACAGCGTGGGAGCCGGAAGAAGGCAGGACTGTCTCTTGTGTCAGCAGGGCCGGCCGAGCACACGGCGCACCCGACGTCACTCCGGCTTCTGCTGATTTACATCTGCTCAGGAGCGCTCCTCGCTTTTCCTTAAAAAGCGTTGCTGCATGGAGAGCAGCTGRCAACGTAACATAGGTGTAAAAACACGCAGGGAAACTCAGGGGTGGATTTTTTTTTTGGGGTGGAAGCATCCCAAGGGGCCGTAAGCTTCACCTCCCCGCTCCTGCGAGGGGCAGCAGCTGTGACACCCGCCCTCTTCCCTGAGGGGGTGTAAAACAGAAGAATTCCTGTGTTTCACGTGGTCATCTTCTTGCCAAAGGTTTGGACTAAGAAAAGGGCTATTCTTTAAAGAAACTATCAGTGGGAAGCTGGARATGTGCTGGTGGTCTCAGCATCCACCTTCTGGAAAGCTGCCATGTGATAATTCCTCCTACATGAACAACCCCAAATCACTGTCAGAGCCCCTCAAAACAGAGACTCTTAATGTAAAGAACACAAAACAAACCCCCCAGAAAAAGCAAGCCCRTAGCAACTGGAAGATATTTGGTCAAAAATGTCAAAGAGTGACCAGAGAGTTAAACTGGCATAAATCTAAGTGCCAGTACATGCTCCACACAGTCCTGGGTCAGATTCAAAATGCATTACAAGSCTCATGAACCAATAAAAATGTCAATGATTGGTATCCTAAAAGCAAATGGGGGCAGTAACAAATATTTTATACCAACAAGTTAATCCTAGATCTTCTTCCAGATGAAAATCCATTGCTCCTCATACCTATTCCTTAATACATTTATAAAGATAAAAATAGTTCATACCACTTGTCCAGCATTCATTTCCCCCAGATCTGCCTGCTTTGCTAGGACATCAGTCTCATTATGTCCATTTTACAAGCAGTGAAATCAAGCTACAAGGATGCTAAAGGTGATCAAGGAGCATTCAGCAGGGAGGCAAAAGCAGGGAAGAGTGCAGTTCCCATTTGAGTTGACTCTGTTATCCTGTTTTTCCTCTTTGGAGATATAGAAAATAAGTTTACTTCTCATTAAACTCACAAAGTTGTATTAAAGRGGTGAACAAATTTTTTTGCYAAACTTTTAAAATTTCCTTAGTTGTCTTGAAAGGAAGTATATTCCCCACCAACACTGCTTAAGGGTTAGGTAAATACTCTGCTGACCAATAACGTAAATGTGRAATATACCCCTGTTCTTATTAATATTTATGTACTAATCCAGGGCTGAAATTGGCTATCATTGAACTGACCTCAGATCTCTGACATAAATGCCTATTTGAAGCACCTGGCAATGGGCTGGGAGCATCCACACCCAGAAGTGCTTTGTCTGGGCTTGCAGCTCTGCCAGCCACACACCTTTTCCTACACTGGCTGCAAGGAACGCAGGAACTGGAAAACATCAGCACAAAACGTGCTTATGTAGAGCAAGGCTACGTAGGCCCATTAACTCTTACAACACATGTGTTTCACCTCTCTCACATGACTTACCTGAACCTGCAGCCTTCTCCTCACTGAACAGAAAGCTCTGGAAATCTGTGCCCGCTGCAGCTGGTACCCAGCTCTCTAAGTACCACACAGCCACTTCTGGAATGGCAATCTAGTTGTTCCCTATAAAAAAAAAAAAGAGTAAAATTTAAACCAATCTGAATTTCAATTTGCAGCCACAACAGTCTTTGGGTTTTTGCTTTTAGTATTGTCCTTTTATTCYGAAAATTTTCCTTGATCTTATGACCTTGTTTTTAACATATTCAAATGTTAAYGCTTTTTATATGTTTCATATATTCTCAACAGACTGTAAACAGTGAGCTGAGCAATACATCTGCCAAAGGCACTGCCAGCTGCTCATGGACTTGCGCTAGCACACATGGGAACAGTGCTCCTGAGCCCATTGTAAAAACACAAGATTTCAGGTAGTGGTCCATATGATTCTGTGCTAAATTTTCCATTTGTTTCCTTCTAAAACAAGGGGACATATAGATGCTGGAGTGTTGGCAAACTGCACACTGGTTTTACCCAAGAAAAGAGGAAAGAACAGCAATGTTGAGGGGTTGAGTATCCTGGTTCTTCCCCTGTGGAAGTCCTAAAGGCTGGGACATTCCCACCCTGAGAGGGGACAGAGCTGCCCAGACAGGGAGGAKCAGCTACGTGACTGTGTGATAGCTCAGCTGGGATCAGAGATTAGGTTGTTGTTTATTAATCAGGTGGGACTGAGGAAGAGAAGCAATTCAGGAGCACCTTCTCCAGAACACAAGCCTTGAACTCTGCCTGTGCTTCCAGGCACTGTCCTTCCCAGGCCATGCCCTTTCCTCCCTACATCGCCTTCCTCAGCTCTTTGGCAACCCTAACTGCTCCCACACCATGACTCCAACACAAATGACTGTCATCCAGAGTGAATGTTTCCATTTGAATTACGTGAGCAGGCACTCTGTAAACTTCCCCACAGGCTCCACCACACTAATCCCTGGGAAGGAGCAACCTGCAGGACCTACTTTCACTGTTGAATGCTTTCCCTGTTTGTTGCTCYTCCTGTCAGAGCCATTACTCGAATTCAGACAGGTGTCCTTACATCTGTCACCCACCAGCCACTGCTGACATTCAGTAACAGGAACTCGCTGTGCATGTCCAAGCCCGAGCCCATGGCACAGAGCAGGAAAGCTTGATTGCTCCCTGGAAATCCCTGAGCTCTGTGGTGCTTTTCACTGGGCACTTTTGGTCTCATGCAGGCTCGCTTCCTCCCCTTCTCCTGTTGCAAGTTCTGCCTTATCCCAGGTTGCCAGGACCCTACTGTGCCAACAGCTGCTAAGACAGAGCAAGGTGTCAATTTTGACAGGATGCCAGATTGTTTATTAATTAAAAATTTAAGCACTCTGTATCCGTCCTGAGACCCTAATCAAAACAGAGCTATTTTACCAAGGGCTCTGAAAGGCTAAAACCTGTTATGCTGAAGCTTTCAGTCACAACTGACAGCCATAAATAAATCCATTTTGTTGACACTACAGCCTGTTTATTGAAATATCCAAACACCACACAGCTAACTYCAGTTCTCCACAGTGAAACCCCACCTTAGTAATATGGGAACAAATGAAGGCTTCCAGAAAGATCTTTGCCCAGTACACAGTAAATATCTTTTCAAAGGTGTCCACCTGCCTCCCCAGCACTCAGCATCAATATGCCTGTATTTGTATGGTACATTTTTCCTGCTGCCAGCTCCCAATGCCAAGCAGAGCCGTCTGCTTCCCATATGCCACCCGTCCTCCAGTGCCTCCTCTCCTGCTTACCTTCCCTCTCTGGGCTCCCACTGCGAATCAACTGCTACTCTGCCAGCCTTCTTGGTGTGTAGAGGATTTTTCTGACTGCAAGCTCCACAGGATGGGAACTCTGCCCAATTCTCTATTTCCCGGTGCACCAGCTAAGCTGTGGTATAGAAATAATGAGCGCAGAGACATTAATGGCTTGACATTTAGATTTGTAATGTCCCAAACATCCTTCTACAGCAAGGTGTCCCTGCCCAGGGCAAGGGGGTTGGGACAAGGTGATCTTTAAGTTCCCTTCCAACCCCAGCTATTCCARGATTCTACAAAGCATGGGAAGCAAGGTCCCAGGGTTCCTTTCATACTCATCTCTAGACAATGTAGTTGATTTCTACTTGCTCASGATTTTGATCAAAAATTTAAAAATACATACAAGTGTTTGAAAAGAAATTATGAAGTTTATACTTTTTGAAAAAATATTTCTGAGCACTTCCCGTGAGCACTGAAATCCTCTGTAAAGCCAGCTGGGAAGAGGATGCATAATAGTGAGAAATTTCATATAACTATTGAGTGAAAAGGTCATCCCATCCACTTTAGAGACAATCATATCACACCTTCCATTCAGATGTTGCTGCACATAAACTTCCAGGGTTTGAATTGCTCAGGCAGCACTCTTAGGAAAATGGAAAATGTTTTTAGTGGTTCCTCCCTGACTTCTGCAGCCTTTCTGTGTGTTTACAGCACTGCTGTCCTGCCCCAGGGGTAACCCAACAGGTCTTGCAGTCTCCTAACTGTGCCCCACCTCCATCATTCACAATCTTGTCTCTCTAACCTACTCATTTTCCCCCATTCCACAAACTATTAGTTTCAAAGAAATTCAGAGATTAATTAAAATGATTGGTGGGATGAGTAGGTGAGGGGGACAGGCTAAAGGGCTTGACAAGAAGAAAGATGAAAAGGWCTAAGTGCGTATGGCTTGGCTATGCGATGACTAATGGAGGGTGGAGGAGATGGACAYGATATTCATTTACAAGTGCCTGTGGTTCTGAGGAGCATTTTTCATGTGCAAAATGAAGACTCGCTCAAGACTGGCTGGGTTTTTTTAGAGCTTTGTCCTCCAGGTCAGGTTGTGAGTCCCACTCTTCCCACAGCCTCTTCATTCCCACCTTTCCCTTGTGTCCCCAAATGTATTGATGTATTTCTATTTCAGATTCAGTTCCTGGATCTCCACCGGGGCACAGGAGTCCTACAGGGAGCAAAGAGCAAGAGGAGAGGCCACGGAAGCCGGGGGTGGATGAGGTGGCAGCTCTGCCACGCCTGTGCTGCAGACTTGGACCCATTTGAACTGACGACGCAAACACACCCTGAGGAACTGGGAAGGAACCGGGACCAGGAGAATCTGGGAATTATTTTACTTCCACTTGGCCTAAGGAAACTCTATTCCTTGTATTCCTTGTACCCTCTCACTCCCACCTTATTTTACTATGCTTTGATGGAGTAAATAAAGCAAATACTTTTGCCTTCTGATTCTTCAAACTCCAGTCTCCCCCAGTTGGAGAAATCTGCTATATAGTAATTCCTTAAGCAAGTGGAAAGCAGTGTGAGAAGATCCAGTAATTCCCAGTTTTATTCACTTTTGGCAGAGGTGAAGCAAGATATAACAGTTCAAAAGCATGAAGTGCTTTTTTTTTAAAAAAAAGGGCAAAAACTCTATATAATAATTTTCCATACAATAAAATCGTTGTGGAAACTGAGGAAGAGAAAATGCAAAACAGTCTAACAACTGAAGAAAATAATGTATTTAAATAGTTAATATCCATGTAATATATATATATATATATGTCTAATATAAGAAAAACTATATGAAAAGAACTATTTTCTTTCTATGAGCACTGTTTCCAATATTTAAAAAAAATCATAAACTGACACTTCTCCTTTTTTTTTAACCTTTTTTCCCCGATGAATTTGAAATAAGCCAAAAGCATTTGAGATACAGGAGTGAAACAATACAACAAATCCATTTATTCCTGGACACCAAGTATAATTTAGATGGATGTGGTGTGTATGAGAAATTTTAATTTGTCCCTGAAAAGCCATTTAATTATTCAGATTATCTGATTGCCTCACTCAGGCTTCTATTGATTGATTAGAGAAGTTTATAAATCAAAATCTGCATTACTGCTGCTCAATGCATCGGCCTCTCAGAAATACAGGGCAGGGATTGGCAATTCCTACCCACAAGTTTGTTTATTGAGCCAAGTAAATGGCTATGGTTTGTACCTGGGTCAGGAAGTGTTCCTTCATCCTACTAARGGAATATTTTCTTAAGGACGTCAGGAAAGGGGGAATAAAAGCCCTGAATTAATAGGTGTTYAATAAATCAGGGCATAGCCGCCAGAATTCCCAGCTCCTTGGCTAATGGCCATGAAGGATCACTATCCATGGGTCCCACTTYTGGATTTGCTCCACTCTGAAGGTCTTGGGTCCTGAACTTGGGGCTGAAATCTCAGCCAAGCCCTCGCTAAGGTCCCAAATTAGGCAGAAAACCCCCTGGGGGCAGCCAAAAGCTTTTGTCTTTGATTTCAGAGCCCTCCTGCTCCCCACAACCTTCATGAGCACCTTGACTCTGTTGCAGCCTGGACCAAAGAACTTCCAGTGAGCAGCAATTAACGTAATGAGTGTCCCCTTCAGCTACAGGGCCTCAGCTCCGACACGTCTCCAGCAAACTGGAATGTCTACTCCTGAAACTCCGCCTCTGCAAGAGGAAGGAAGTAGAGAACTGAAATGGGTGGAGGGGAAAAAAAAATTAAATTAAATTAATCCCTCCAGCCCTGACCAATCCTGCTGAAGTTAATCAGAACCTTGCATTGATATCAGGGGGCTCTAAAGGCAGTTTTTCAGGTTATACAAATGTGTATTAAATAGAGTGGTTTAAGCTACACTGAGCACGTTCCTCATAGTCTGAATGTTGCTTTCTAGGACAAAAGAAATATGCAGAAGAAAACCCCAAAAGATAGAATAAAACAACAAAATTCTTAACTAATTAAATGTATTAAGTTAATCAGAATAAATTTTATTAGTACTATTTGTACAGCAAATTAAGCTTCCTATTTACCACAAACCACAAATAACCCCCCCCATTTTTAGCTTTTGAAATATTAAAAAATATTTTATTTCAAAATAAAAACTTCCACACAGTAAACTACTTAGAATTCAAGTCTTCATTTCTCCAGAACTTCTTTGCACAGACGGGCCCTTCATAAACATAAAAACTGCGGGGTGAAGCAGAGAAGATCATTTAGGGACTATCTCCGGGATAGTAACACATCAGAGACTGCCACATCAGGTCCATCGAGATACCCATCTCTAACAGGAGCCAGGAGTGGATCCCTAGGGAGGCACACGAAACCAGGGATGCTCCCCCAGGCACAAGTCATTGCAGCTCCGGGATTTCCAGAGCCAGTGTAGATGTTCTGTGATTCACAGACCTKAAGTGATTTCTCTTCTGTGAATTCACCCAATCACGTTAAAATCCCTGAGTACACCCCTGCCAGGGAGCTCTACCMCTGAACTACAATTCTCTGAAGATATTTCTCAGTTTTATTCCAAACCTGCCTGTTTCATTTGATGCCCCTTGGCTCTGGTGCCGGAAGAGTCAGTCACTGGTCTCTGTTTATGTGGTATGTAAAGATTGAAAAGGAATTAAACAACTGCTTTGAGCGCTCGCTGCCTTAATGAATTTCTGAGATTTTCYTATGCATGTGCAGTAACTTAGTGCTGCTTGGCTGAACTGTTCATGCAGCTGAAGTTTTGAGAGATGCTGTCTCTGTGAAGGCTGTGCGGACACCAGAAGTACACKGTGAGCCCCCACATCGAGCCACAACTTTGTAATTTGTGCCACAAAGTGTTAAAACAAACACTTCATGTATTATTTCCATCATTCCAGTTAACACCAGTGCCCACCTTGTGGCCAAACAGGTGGGAACACCAGACAAAATGCAGAAGAAAAAAACCCAACAACTTCAAAGAGGGGAGCTGGACCTTCACTTTTCTTTCACAGCTGCTGATGTTTCTGTTTGCTTCATTGCTCCTTCCTATACCGTAACTGGTAATTATGTCATTATATCCAGGAAAAAATAGCACTGGAGAATTTGAAAGCATGTTTTCAAAACTGGACCTAAGTTTGTCAGCTTCACATATCGTGAGAAGGGATTAAACCTGACAGACCAAGTTCTGCACTGACAAAAAGCTGAACAGCAGGGAACAGCTTCGTGTTGGAAGCATAAGGAGCACTTGTTGCACTGCTGGCACTCAAACACACCAGTGCAGCCCTGCAGTCCCTGTGCCCCCCCGTATTGTCACCGTCTGTCCTCAAATACCTGCTGCACTTTATTTYAGAGGTAGCTGCCTGTCAGCATTCCCAAATCCACACCACCCCGAGAGCAGGGTGTGCGYGGGGCAAGGTAAGAAAAACGAATCCCTGTTATCAGAGCTCTGCCCTGGAACGCCGCTCGCTCAGAGCAGCTCCAGCGAACCAGACAGCTCCCATCTGTTGCTCCGAGCGAACATGCCAGCACAGACTTTTCTCCTCCACCACGATCCTTCGGCTCCAGCCCTTATTTTCCCTCCCGACTAACCTGCACTTCCACACCAATACTAGAGCACGGTCTAAAATTAGGCCGTCGCTGTCCCCTCCCCTTGGAGGACGAGTTCAGAGAAACCCATCCGCAACCCGGCTTTTTCCTGTCGCGTTTTATTTCCCCTCTGCATTCTCCTGGTTATTCCTGAGGCCGGGAATTGACGTCCCGAGTCTCTGTAAAAGCAAAGCCGTGCCGGGGGGCGGAGGTGCGGGGGCGTACGCCAACACCCGCRGCCGAAACCCGCGGCTCCCGCTGGGCTGGGCGGGCGAGCGGAGACTCCACAGGCCCCGCGGGAGCTCAGCCCGGGGCGGGGAGCGTGGGGTCCCCCCGGTGCCGCCCCTGGCGCTGCCTGGAAGCCGCGGGGGCGGCGGGACGGGGAAACCACGTGGGGCTCCCCGGGAGCGCCACCTGAAGGGCCGAACCACCGCCGGGGGAGGGAGGAGCGGCGAACCGAGCGGGGGGACAGCACGGCCCGAAACGCGGCGGAGGCACCGGCCGCCAAGCGAACAAACAAACACAGAAACAAACAAATAAACAGAGGCACGAGCACACCGGSAGCGGCGGCGGGCGGCGGGACGGGGCCGAGCGCGGGTCCCCCGCCGCTCGTTCCGC